AAACCAAGACTACTCTACAATATCGACGGTTAAAGAGGTTTGACATATGTTCTGTGAGAGGCGTTGAAAAGCTTATTGCTCGTGTATCATCAGGAGCTTTATGGACATATTTTGTATTTTCGGCGCCCCATCCATACTAAGACGGCCGTGAGTTCGCCAACCGTGTCATTGAAGAGTTATGTACAATGTCGAGTGGCCTTAAAGTAGTCCATGGCAAACCACGTCATAGTCAGTCACAAGGCAGCGTGGAAAGAGCAAATCAAGACATACAAAATATGCTTATGACGTGGATGGATGATAAAAACTGCAGGCGATGGTCAGAAGATATAAGATTTGTCCGGTTAATGAAAAGTAGGGCTTACCATGACGTGATAAAACAAGCTCCTTATGCTGCCATGTTTAGGCATGATATTAAAGTCGGCCGATCCACATCAGCGTTTCCAAAAGAAGCTATTGAAAATCTACGAACCGAAGAAGAGCTCGAGAAAGTTGTGGAGGAATTTGGTGTAGGTGAAGAGCTTCAAGAAGAACAAAATGAAGACCAATCTATAGACAGTAACCCAGAAACAGATAACATGCAAGAAAATATTACTGAGTATGCAAAATATCAATAATAATTATAGAGAAAACGCTGGTAATATGGAAACTTCAGATAATCGGGGGAAATGTTCAGAGTGTGACAAACCAAGTACATTAGAGAATATATGTTGTGAACTTTGTTTGTGCCAAAAAAAGATACGGACAATCAAACTAGAGGCAAAACGAAATTTAGAAAATCAATCAAAGAAAATGAAAGCTTTTTCAAATTCAAAGTTTCTGACATGTTCTGTCGGAGATACAGTGAGAGTGAAAATTCCAGACGTTGATAGACGGATGGGTGATTTTAGAAATATTCTCATGACTGTAATCGAAAAAACCGAAGACGATTTTTATAAGCTAGCAAACAAGAGAGGAACTATCGAGGAGATATTTTGGGATGTTTTCCAGGACGCAATTTTCTGTGTGTAATGAGAAACTTGTAGATATGCAAAGTGTATCACTGGAGAAGAAAAGTTTACGACAACTTGCAAACAAACAATCTCTTTTAGGAAGTCAAGGTTACAAACGATGCAACTGTAAAACTAAATGCATGACCAATAAGTGTAAATGTAAGGCTATTGGAAATATTTGTAACTCAAAATGTCATAACAGCTTATCTTGTTTAAACAAATAGATTATAAACGGTTGTCCAATAGGGACGCAGGAAAGTAAACGTCAGTTTGACATAGACGCCATCCTTGTTTTCTGTCACCGACATGTCATTTTGTTAGTTGAATGTTTACCATTGATCGCTATGGAGTCGTATTCGGTTGAAGACCGCATTAAAGTTATTCAAGAGCACTACAAAAATGGTGCAAAAATAAAAGACACGATTCGCGCGCTTCGTGAACATTTCGGTCGCAACAACCGCCCAAACGAAACAACCATCGGTCGTCTGGTGCGTAAATTCGAGGCAACAGGTTCTGTGGCAAATCTGCCAGGCTCTGGCCGGCCAAGGAGCGTTCGCACACCGGAAAATATTGATGTTGTGAAGGAGAGTGTGAGAGACGATCCGAAACAATCAACAACGCGTCGATCCCAAGAATTGGGCATTTCGAGAACCAGTTTGCTCCGCATTCTCCACAAGGATTTGAATGTACACGCCTACAAGATCCAATTGACGCAAGAGCTGCGTAGGGCCGACCATTTTTCGCACCGAACGTTCTCAGATTGGCTCCTTGAACACCGCCAAATTGATGCCAATTTTTCATCAAAAATCATGTTCAGCGACGAAGCGCATTTCCCTTTGAATGGGACGGTAAACAAGCAAAACTGCCGCATCTGGGTGAACGAAAATCCCCGTGAGTATCAAGAGCAGCCGATGCATCCTCAAAAAGTGACTGTGTGGTGTGCATTGTGGTCAAAAGGCATCATCGGACCTTACTTTTTCGAAAATGCGGCCGGGGACGCCGTTACCGTCAATTCTGAGCGATATCTCGTGATGATAGAGGACTATTTTTTGCCGCAACTTGAAGGAATGGATATGGACGATGTTTATTTCTAACAAGACGGTGCAACATGCCACACAACCAACGTCAATATCCATCGATTGCAGTCCTTCTTCGGTGATCGCGTGATTTCGCGCAGAGGAAATGTGCCATGGCCACCAAGATCGTGCGATTTGACTCCCTTGGACTTCTTTTTATGGGGATATTTGAAAAGCAAAGTCTACGTCAACAATCCAGCCACCCTCCAAGAACTCAAAAACAACATCATTGCCGAGATAAATGCCATAGAACCGACCATGTTGCAAAATGTCATTGAAAATTTCGACCATCGCGTGGACGTCTGTAAATCCAGTCGTGGTGAATATTTGAGCGATATTATTTTTCATACATAAATGGTATAAATGAACCTTCAAAATAAAGTACCCAACTTGATTTGAATATCAATCTTTCTTGTTTTAATATGCGTTTACTTTCCTGCGTGCGTTTTGGACAACCCCATAGTGTCTTGCACTTTGTTAGGATACAGTTTCAGTGTAACCTTTGATTTTTAAAACCTGTTCTTTCAATAAAATGTGTTTTTAAAACATTTATGGCGTTATTTTTTAACATTAACCACACGAAAGTGGATAGAACGCGGTTTACACGGCTAAAGTCCGAAACATTTACAATTTCAGTAATATCTTGGACTTTACTCATGTTGTCTGGGTATTGCGCAGTTTACCCGGGTAAGCCTAAGTTTAATCATTATTCTAACTTTACCCGTAACATTTATATCATTAAAGTTTAATAATTTCCCAATAATTTAATCCATTTTTTATTTTGCTATCCCATATATCTTTCAATTTACTGCCAAAAAACAAACCAGTATTCCAAATACTCTGCAGTTCCTCTACCTACAAAATCTGTTTTGATGAAATGCAAGAGGGACAAGTGTTATGGAAACGAATCATTTCTGGACCTGAGATTACATAAAGTGTTTTAAAAATATTATATATTTTGCAACGTCTTGTATATTCAACATTTCGATTGCCTTCGATTCACTATACTATAACTATTTAAAACTGTAATGACTCATCGATGTTCACGTGAACATCACTTAACTACCAGTAGTCGGCTGTTCATAGGCGGGGTATGAATGTTTAACATGGGTGAACTAGATTTGTCACATGCTTAATAAAGAGTGGTTTGAAACATATTGTGAGTCAAAAATTTGGGAATTACCTTTATTCATCGTCGCTTCCACTTACATCTGACAGTAATAAACTGTCGTTTTCGCTTTCCTCGTTGAAATTGACTATAACTGGCTCTATGATGGTGTCGATGTGGTGGTCAAGCTGCCACATTTTTGTTTCTTCCTTCACAACATGACGGATAGCATTCTGCCAAGCTTCGGGCGTTACTAGCTGTATGGAAGTCTCAAGTAAAACCTTAACGTCTGATAATTTGATGGTTGTGTTATGGCGCGCAATATAACCCTTCACTTGAGCCCAGATGAGCTCTATTAGGTTCAGTTCACAGTGGTAGGGCGGTAACCGCAGCACAGTGACACCACATTGATGGGCCATCTCATCAGTCACGTAACTAATGTTCGCAGGTTTGTGCTGTTTAATTTTTTCATACAATTCCGCTTTCGCACATGAATCGTCAAACGGGATTCCTTTTTCGCGCAACCATTGCTGCATGTCACTTTTTCGAGATCCCATAGTCGGTACACGTTCGGCTCGACGTCTATGGTAGGAAGCATTATCCATGACGATCACAGAGTTGGGCTCAACTCGCTGAAGCACCCCTTGAAACCAGCTCTCGAAGCAGCTGGCATTCATTTCGTCATGGTAATCACCTCCTTTCTTAGAGACGAAAATCAAGTCACACTCTTCTAAAAAGCCACTATCGCTACCAATATGACGGTCCACGAAGACCTGTTGACAAACCTTCAATGCTTGCTTGTCTGTTACTCACTACGTTTTTGTCTATCCAGGTTTTTTTAACTGTATGACCTGCATTTACCCATGTCTCGTCCAAATAATAGATTTTTCTGCTTTGTCGCCTATATTCAATCATTTCGCGTAGGTATTTTCGACGCCAGGCGACTATTTCAGGTCTCTCTATCAATACTGACTTCCGATTACGCGTTTCGTAACGAAAATTAATTTCGTGCAGGGATTTCCTCATTACCTCGACGCTCATTTGGGCTATAATTTCATTTTCCTTGATCGCTGCATGTACAGCCTTGAGGGTTGGTATCTCATTCCTAAAGAAGAATGAATGTACGGTTCGCCTTAACGCCATTTTGCTATCGTCATCCAATTTGACGGCCTTTCGTCCCTTCAAATTAAACTTTGGATCAGTAGTAGCTCCAGTTTTCGTCTTTTCATGCACCACCCTGCAAATGGTCCACTCTGGAACGCCTGTCATACTTTCACAACGCGCGAGTGCATCTCCCTGCGACATAGTTCTGTTCAGATAATTGAACACGTTGAGCACGATTTCTTTCGCGTCCCTCTTCAGTGCTTTACGAAGCCGTCTACTTGTTCCCTGGCTTTCAGTACTTCCACTCGTGCCATTTGTACTCTCCATGGTTAAGTATAACCAAAACAGTAACCACAGAAACCACAACAATAACAATCACACAACAATTCTTATAAAAACACACAACATGCGATCGCTCAACGAAACACGTTCCAATGCGTTGCCGACGCCTATGAGTCTGCCGGTCGAGGCGCGTCTTTGATTTCATTGGTACTACCGGCGGAGAACAATCAGCCATTATTTCCATCTCTGTTGACCACCGCAAAGCCACAGAAACGACATATGTCGTACGCTATACGGCTGTACTGGAAGGAAGCCGGGATCGAGCTCTGATCACGTGTTGATCACGCGTATGAGTCATTACAGTTTTAAATAGTTGTAGTATAGTGTGACTAAAAACCGCTTACAATTTGAGATGACTGGTATGATTTATAAATTCTGCAGAATATAAAGAACTTTCTGGAGAAAGCAAGCAACGGTGTTATCTACTTCAGTTTAGGAACGACGGTGAGCAGTAGCCAACTGAACGATGTCAAGAAAAAAAACATAATTGAAACCTTCCGACAACTGCCTTACAACGTATTGTGGAAATACGAACAAGATGATCTCCAGAACATTCCTGAGAATATAATGATCATAAAATGGGCCCCGCAACAAGACATTTTGAGTAAGTTCACTGAAGTGCGATGTGTGCGATTTCAATTTGACTTTTTCAATACTAATAAAATCAGTCCATACAGGATAACTCAGAATAACATCATAATAACAGGATACACACAGAACCCTAAAAAATAATGCCATAACTTCTTATAAACTGCTCTTATAAATGATGCTCACGAATATCAGTTTTTCTCAAGTAGGTTTTGAATATGGATTCATCAAGTCTTGATATTCTTAGAAAGTACAAAGCTTGTGTTAGTTATGTTTGTAGCTATTTCTTAATTCTTCTATCGTTTCTATGGGAGTAGCGTAAACCATCGTTTTAAGGTTTCCTCGTAAATAAAAATTTATTGGCTTCAAGTCCTTGGAGCGAATGAATTGGTTCACCTCTTCCGACCCAATTTCTCACCAAAGGTGCTATCCAGATGAGTTCTGACAAGTATACTAAAATGAGGAGGAGCTCCATCGTGCATAAAAGTTATTTCTTTACGTACATTTAGAGCAACTTCTAGCAGTACCGGCAATTTTTTTTTAAGAAACTCTAAGTAAGATTCGCCGTTTACTTCTTAAGGGTAAAAAGACAGTGTTGGAACGCGTACTAGCGTCACCCTGCCACGCCGCTACTGGCGAGACGACCAGACACGTCGCCTAACCTTAGTGTACGTGCACATACAAGGCGGATTCAAGCGAGGCGTAGCGTTGCGAGCAAGGCGGAAAATACAAACTAATATAATTCAATGCGAGGGTGCATACTGGTGTCGAGCCGTAGCGAGCCGTAGCAGGTCGTAACGAGTCCGCGGCGAGCGATCCGCTCCAAAACAAATCAGTTTGTCTTTGAGCGTTGGAGAGGACGGATTTAATATGGTGGATATCGAGAAATTGATTAATGAGATATTCTTGCGAACCCCTATATGGGATCAAACAAATCATTTACATCATAATCGTGATGTAATATCGAAAATGTGGCAGGAAATAGCAGCTTCTTGTGGAATAACAAGTAAGTAGTAAACACATGTTCATATAATGATATAATTTATTCATAAAACATTATATTGAAACGGGACAGCGCCCTCATTATTGAAATACTGCATAAAACAATTCCTTATATCCCTAGCTTGTTCTGTAGAACTATTATTTTTCCTATTTTTCTTTGAATCTGTGCTTTCCTTTGGTTCTTCTATTAGGGCAATACCTTCTTTATCAATAATTATATTGTGCAACACACAAATGCAATTAACAATTTTTTCGGCATTTTCTGGAGATGTTTCTATTGCTTTTGTTAAAATACGGCATTTTGCAGCAAGGATTCCGAAGGCACATTCGACAACTCTTCGTGCTCTTGAAAGTCTGTAGTTGAAAATTGTCTTCTGTGCATCTAAATTTTTTCGTGGATATGGTTTTAACAAATGATTCAGAAGTGGATAGGCTTCATCTCCTAATAAAACATATGGTAGCTTTGTATCTGAGTTTGGTAAATTACGATCTGCTGGTATATTTAACTTTCCAGTAACTAAATGCTGATATAAAGCACTTTCTCGAAATATTCCACCATCTGATTGTTTACCGAAGGCACCTGTGTCGATAAAAATGAAGCGGCAGTTAGCATCGGCTACTGCTTGTAAAACAATAGAGAAATACTGTTTATAATTGTAATAACTTGTTCCAGTATTCGATGGACATCTTATTCTTATATGTTTTCCATCTATGCACCCAAAACAATTTGGAAAATTCCACTTCTTATAAAAATGTCTGCTTATCTCTAACAAATCTTGTTCCGAAGGTATCCCAAGATGAATTGGTTGTAGTTCCTCCCATATTGCGGTACAAACTTCTTTCACTATACTTGCTACAGTCGAAAAACCCATCCTGAAAGAGTCTGCGAGTGCTCTATATGATAATCCAGTAGCTAAAAACCTGAAAAAAAAATGTTTAATTCAATACTCAAGTTTCTTAGTCTTATCCATCAATCTAACTGCTAATTTTTTTCATATATATATATAATTTTTATTTTCAGTTGAAATTGCTAAAACAAAGTGGAAAAACCTGAGAGACAATTTTCGGGCAGAAGTGAGAAAAATAAATAAAGGAAAATCAGGAGACGCTGGCGGCAGCCAAGCAGATCATGGGTCCAACTGGGTGTGGTTTAAAAACCTGTTGTTTCTAAAGGATCAAATGGTTTCAAGAAAAATGAGCAGCAGTCTTCAAAGCTCTTGCACTGTCACCACTGGTCCATCATGCGCACTGTCTGAAGATTCGCAAAGAGATACGCAAGAGATAGATGATGTCACAGAAATTGAAGAAAATTCAGAGATAGAAGGCCAAACTCCAGCTACGGATCAAGATACACCGACCGCATCAAAAACCAGTAGTTACACAAAAAGAAAGAGGGGCTCTGGGATTGACTATGAATTGTTAAATCTAGAAAAAAAGAAGATTCGAATGATTGAGACACAACTAGCACAGAATATCCCAGAATCAAAAACAGAAGATGATTTATATTTCTTTTTAATGAGCCTTCACAAACCTCTCAAGGATCTTCCGATTGATCGACAAATGTTTATTCGCTTTAAAATACAGGAATTACTTTATACTGAAATTATCAGTGCAAACCAATACCAGCAAAATACAACAAGCGGTTTAAATGTTCAAAATTCTGCAGTTAACACATTCGTTCCCAGTCAAAGCACTCAGTACATAAATCCACCGTCTACATCTTCGGTTTATTCCAATACGTCAGCTAGTAACAGCCATGATACTGACCTATTATTATTACAGTAGAATGTAATTACTCAGTATAGGAGAAATAAAGTTTAAGCCATTAAGCGGAAAATACTATGAATATACCCAGACAAAAATATTTAATTTTTTTATTTTAAATAGTTGATCTTTTTCTTCGGATTGTTTCTTTTTATTTTGTATTACTCATGCTATACTGCTTCTCGTACATTACAATTTATTACTAATACAATAATGTTAAGGATGGATTAGCGCACCAGAGAATAAAAATAAACATAAAAATGAGATAATATAAAACATGCAATATTTTTCTCTTTGAGTAGGTAGATATTTAATATAATACAAACCTCAAGGTTAATGCTAGCTTTTCAATAGGACTGATGGCTTTTCGGAAATTTGAATTTTGTTTCTTGATTCGCCATTCTACTTTTTCTAAAATATAAGAAAAAGTACTCTCCTTCATCCGAAAATATCTGTAAAACCTTTCGGAGTCTTCTTGTAAACTTTTATACAAATGAAAGAACTCTCCAAATCTTTCTCTCGAACGATTGATGTTATGTGTCCAAAATCTTCTTTTCTTGGCTAAACGTCGTTTTATTAGAGGATTCTCCAATAATAATAATAACGCTGTATCCATCGCGACTGTTCACTGACTACTGTGGGAAAGTGATAAAAATTCCGCCTTTTCAAACGCGTTCAATATGCACAGCAATCTCTAGCGTTCGGTCTCGCATCGCTACGTATCGCAACGACTAGCTCGCTTCCTCTTGCTATGTGCACGTACACTTAAGCTTGTAACAGCCGTCGGTCCACGCGCGCCGCACTAGGAATCCAGTCAGTCGTGAAGAATCAGTCGTAGGAAGCAGTTGAAGAACAACAGCAGCCAACGCACGCGCGCGGAACGCGGAAGCCCGGTATACACCTGTCGCGTATCTACACATTCATGTACAAGTATTCAATAAACTGTTCTGAACCGAAGACCACTGCGAGTTGAATTGCTTTGCTTACCTATCCTCAACAGAAAGGATCAATTAAATTGTCACCAACAATACCCATTTGAGGAAAATTGTTCCTGGTAGCGACATTGTATACTAAGTGACATATAAATCCGAACACCCAGTTTAAATGGTTTTATTTTTATAAAATTTTGTATAAGTACTTAATGAAGCATAATAAGTAAATGATAAAAATTTCAAAATGATTGCACTGCTTTAAAACCCTTTGACCTTTAATAATGTGTGGATCAGGTGGTCAATGTCCTCCTGTGATATCTTATTCCTGGCAACCACCAACTCCTCTCGAAGTGCTTCCAGAGTCTGAGGAGGACGTTGCAAATTGAGCAATCTCCTACCCATCATATCCCACACGTGCTCAATTGGGGATAAGTCGGGAGATCTTGGTGGCCAGGGTAACAATGTGACATCATTATGTTGAAAGAAGTCTATTGTGACTCTTGCAACATGTGGTCGGGCATTATCTTGTTGGAAAGTTGGATCTGCCAGGGTGTCAAGGTAGGGTAAAAAATTGGGTTCTAGAGCTTCGTGGATATAACGCTGCGCGTTCATGTTACCTCTGATGAAGATTAAAGGTGACCTGGAACCATAAGCTATAGCACCCCAAACCATAACTAAAACAGTGTAATGAACATGTCTTTCAACAAAAAACTGTGGATTCCTCCTTTCACCACGTCGCCTTCTAACCCTGGCACGACCATCGTGCATGCCTAAACAAAATCGAGACTCGTCACTAAAGACAATACTGTTCCATTCCTGATCCCAGAGTGACCGTTGTCTGCACCACTCAAGGCGATTACGTCGGTGTTCTCGAGTTAAAGGGAGGACCCAGTGTGGCCGGTATGAAAACAAGCCAAAACTTCTCATTCGTCGGTAAACACTTCGCATGCCAATAAGTCTTCCGTGTTCTGCAAACCATTCATTTGCAATGGACCTGGTAGTGGAGAAACGGTCCCTTAAGGCCAATAATTTTAGGCGGCGATCTTCACGTTCTGTTGTTCTACGGCAGCGTCCAGTGCCCCTTGCTCTTTGCGTACGGCCTTCTCGAAGCCATGCCTGACAACACCTAACCACAGTGTCTACACTTCTTTGCACTGTAACTGCAATTGCCCGAAAAGAAAGTCCAGCTTCCCGAAGTCCCACTATACGGCCCCTATCAAACTCACTAAGTTGACGAAATCGTACAGGTCTCCGTACTCTAGGCATCGTAACCGATCGTAAAGGATGTCAAGAACCAAAATCCGCCAACGTTGATTCTTTACTGCGGCTGAAATATTCATTTTTAGAGCGTTAGTGAATTAAAAAAAAGCAGTATAAAAACTGGAATGTCCAACTGATAAGGCTGAAAATTTTTTCACTTGTTATTTACAGTAAGATAAATACATTCACCAACTTTTATTAAAATAAAGCCATTTAAACTGGGTGTTCGGATTTATATGTCACTTAGTATACGTAAGTATGAAGATATTTGTCACTCCATACATGAGTGTTATGGTAATTAACAATACCATCCCTCCAAAATCATGCTTAATCCGTAAAAAGTATGGTTTTATTAAAATTGGCAACACTGTAAACGAGGTAGAAAATCTCTTGTTAATAATGCTCGCGCACGTTGGACATGATAGGGTTACAAAAGTTGCTCGGTGAAATTACAGATGTTCTTGATATGGCGAGCCCAGCTGATCTCTTTCGGGATGATAAACTGTGGATCACGTCGCAACTTCCCTTATAGTTTCCTCTGTTCGTATTGACCTTGGACGCCGCGCAGGTTTCTGATTCAGTGTCGAACCGGTAGACTCGAACTTTCTAACCCACGACCTGATCACACTTTCACTAGGACATCGAGTTAGATCATGTAAACTAAACTCAGAGCGAAACAGGCGTCGCGCAATAGTCCATTTTCGTAATAAACCTTGACACAGAACTCACGCTACTAACCGGTGAAACGCTCCATGGCGACTAAGTTTCCGAGCACCAAGCTACTTTTTCCCCACTACCCGTGTCTCGCTCCCGCGTAGTGTCTACCACGAGCAAGGCGGTTTTGAAATTCATACGTCTTTCTGTTCAACTCAGTAGATTGAGGCTAATCCATCACCGCCGATCTAAATGACTTAATTGTTCATCCATGGACAGTTGGATACCATTTGCTGTGGAGCCCTGCAGGATATCTATTCATAGCAAGTTATGGCATTGTTTTTTGTATGTAGTATAAAAAACAACACAATCAGTAATTTAATCTCATTGTAGGGCATCCAAATGTGAGGCTGCTTATAACTCAAGGAGGACAACAATCAATCGAGGAAGCCCTTTTGAATGGTATTCCAATGGTGGTGTTACCATTTGAAGTTGATCAAATCCCAAATGCGAAGAAAATTGAATGTGAAGGACTTGGAAAACGTGTTAATCACAAACCATATTTATCACAGAAAGAATTCAAGAGTGCCATAGAGGAAGTAATCGGCAATAGATCAATGTAATCGATTACACTAGCTGCATTTCATACAGGGTATTTTCAAAGTTGACTCATTTATTTTAACTGCTTGGAGGACTCGTGAAAAGGAGTTGATATACCAAAAATCACCTATACAGATTGAAAATTTAATAAAATAAGAATATTACACAGAATTTTTGATATTCTCGACCTCTGCCGTTTAAAATCTTGGCGTTTTTCTGTTAACAACTCTTATCATTTATCTAAATTTGGCAAACTTTTTGTGTAATTGTATGGTTTTCAGTACGAGTTTTTGGTTCGATCAGTTGTATCAGTCTTTTAATAGTGGGTATACTTTCATTTGCCTGAATATTTTGTGTGAAAAACAATGAACTAGTGGACATAATGCGGAAAGTCCAACAAGATGCAGCCGCACCATGCAAGTTGTATGCGGAAAGGTTTCCTTAAAGAAATCATCCGGCATCATGGATATTTGTAAACTTAGTAATTAAAAGAAAGACGAGGCCACATCTACACGAAATGGAGTGCACAATTTCCACAACAATCATGTTTGGACAGTAGAAAATCCGAATGCTGGAAAAAGGAACTCATTTTCAACATAGATTTTCATTAAATGTTTGGACTGGCGTGGTAAATGGCTTGCTTATTGGACCCTACTGTTTTCTACCTCGACTGATCGGTGAAATTTATTTAGATTGATATCCTGGCCATATTTAGTTACAATTTGGGGAAAGAATATAACTAACACTGTGCTCAGTTATAGAGGCCTGAGAGTGTGGTTCTTTGTACATACTTTGACCTTTGATACAAATGGTTGAGGTTTGGGTGCCACCTAGTTCCAAGAACTGGGAAAAAGAAATGAAAAAGTAGTGCCTTTTGGCCTATCAAAACTTGAACTGGATGATGCTAAATGGCTTCCAGCAAAAAACTAAAAAATCACCTTCGTAGGTGCTTGACTATTACAGAATCATGGGATTGATTCCCATACAAGAGCAAACGTAACCAAGCGCCGGAAGACCCTGATGTATATTAGAGTCCGAAGGTAGGACCCTCGGACAATGAGGGTTCACGGAAATGGAGGACTGCTCCTCACAGACGTGAATCCTACTTAAAGATCATTTCGGAGTAATTATGGAGACAGTTCCGCTCACCTCGATGGTTTAGGTGTAGCTGTAACGACGATTAAATCCCAAGAGATTTTTTTATGTGGGGCTCTTTGATGTGTCATGATGAAGTAGTGAATACACTGAAAGAACTTCAACAACGCACTGCAAACGGTTGTGATTTAATTCATAGACGCCAGGCTTTTATTTTCGAAGCTTGTAAAGAGTCGTGGATTCGCCGAGCAAGATTTTGCGTTAATCGAATAAATGGAGACAATGTTTAACAGTTTTTGTAAAAACGGTATCATTTAACTTGATAATGATTTTTTTTAAATAACGTTTAATAATGTAAATGAACTCTCTTATGCAACTTTTATACAGGGTGTTTCAGTTTATTGTTGCATAACTTTAAGATTCAATAGAACTTTTAAAATTAATGCATAAAGTCTATATAAACATGGGTCGAAAAATGCGTGGCTTCCGAAATACAGGGTGTTTAAATTTACTTTCTAAAATAGTTTTTTTTAAATATTTCGAACAATATTTGATGTATAACAGTGAAAATTGGTATACAAGGGTTTTTTGGTACGACAAAACGAACCATGGGCATAGTTTTACTGTAGCCGCCAGAGGGCGCTCTCTACTGTACCTGTAGTGTATTAAAATGACCGAAAATTTTTCTTAGTGCAATTTTTTGATTTTTGAATAAAAAAACTGATTCTTCGCACTTTTCAGCATAAAAAAGCTCTCTTGTGAATTTTTGTTATAGTAAGCCGTTTTTGAGATATTTCGATTTTTAAGATTCGATGCATTTTTAATTATTTATGATAAAATACGTTAAAAAGTCAGTATCTCGAGAATTTTTAGAAGTAGGCTGTGCCTGCAAACATTTTTGAAATTGAAAGCAGAATAAGGTTAAACGTCAATTAGTTGACAGTTAGTTTTGTTGTCTGTTGAAACCTGAAACGTTTTTTGCAATTGTGAATGCACGAAATTTAGTTTCTTTTACCTGTGTTTTTTTGTAAGTTTTATAAAAATGCCATTTTTATTCTCCAATCAAGAGTTAGCGGATATTCATTTTGTGTATCGCTTTGTAAATGGAAACGCAGCAGAAGCAGCCAGAGAATACGCACGAAGATTTCCAAACAGATGACATCCAACTCGCTCAGTATTTGCAAGAGTGCATCGCCAAATAATTGAAAATGGTTTTGGAAATTTCCAAAGGGATCCAAACATAAATGCTACTAGACAGAATCAGGAATGCATGTGATGAAATAAGGCCTTATTTGAATAATGCTATACCACGTTCGATCATTCGTAGATGTGAATTGTGTATTGAACAATTGGGTTTACATTTCGAGCAACTACTTTAGATTTTGTATGTTTCTCCTAACTATCCAATAGTATTTTAGTTGTAAATAATTAATTTAATTTGTTAAAAATAATATTGGAAAATTAAACAAATTAATACTCTGTTTTTTTGTGTTTATTTGGAGTTAGGAATTATTGCTGTGTTTAAAAACACAATCTAAACGATCATCTTAATTACTTGTAATGCCCAAATCGAAAACGTAAAAAAAATATTATTTTCCCATAAATAATTAAAAATGCATCGAACCTTAAAAATCGAAATATCTCAAAAACGGCTAACTACGAAATCTCACAGGAGAGCTTTTTTATGCAGAAAAGTGCGAAGAATCAGTTTTTTTATTCAAAAAGCAAAAAATTGTACTAAGAAAAATTTTTCGGTCATTTTAAAACACTACAGGTACATTAGAGAGCGCCTTCTAGCGGCCAGAGTAAAATTATACCCATGGTTCGTTTTGTCGTACCAATTTTCACTGTTATACATCAAATATTGTTCGAAATATTTAAAAAAACTATTTTAGAAAGTAAATTTAATCACCCTGTATTTCGGAAGCCACGCATTTTTCGACCCATTTTTATATAGACTTTATGCGTTAATTTTAAAAGTTCTACCGAATCTTAAAGTTATGGAACAATAAACTGAAACACCCTGTATAGGTGATTTTTGGTATATAAACTTCTTTTGATGAGTTCTCCAAGCTATTAAAATAAATAACTCAGCTTTATACAGCGTATCCTTAAAAATGGGACTTTCCTTCACAGAGTCAACTACATTTCCTAGACCAAAGCTAAAAACCAAACCAAACAACACCGAATACATAAAAAAGAAAATGAAGAAAAAAGTATTTGTTTCAAGTTTGTAAATATTGCTTGAAGTTTTCGCTGTTCGATTCAAAAACAGGAGTTTGTTTACATCTTCCTGAATTTGCAACCTTCCAGGCTGTCTAGGTATGCGTTCTGGCTGACGGTTTTTGCACAATATAAACAAACATAATGTAGTTCTGATGGGGTTCTGAATAGGGTTTTCATTAAAAAAATTAAGTTGACTTTAAAATAATCTTGAAGGTGAAGGTCAAATGCAAGGTCAGCGTTCACTTCCTCGCTAAAATTTACCAAATACCTGACCGATTTTCGTTAAAAAAGAAAGTTAACTTTGAAATAACTTGAAGGTGAAGGTCAAATCCGAGGTCAGCATTCACTTCCTCGTTAAAATTTATCAAAGACCTGACCTTGATAGTTATTTTCATCACTCGCCCTGTTAGATTGATATAGGTTTTCTTAGCAGCACATATTTGACCTTCATTTAACCTTTAGTAGTCATCCTGACCTTGGACTTTGATTGTGTTCCATCGTAAACTTTTCTGTTCTTTCGATAGCCGGCATCAAAAATAAGGTTTTCATTAAAAAATAAAGTTGACTTTAGAATAACTTTGAGGGTGAAGGTCAAATTCAAAGTCAGCGTTTACTTCATCGTTAAAATTTACAAAAGACCTGACCTTGATAGATGTTTTCATCACTCAACCTGTGAGATTTATAGAGATTTTCCTAGCAGCACACATTTGACCTTAATTTGACCTTCAGTCCTAACTTTGGACTTTGTGCTCGAAACTAAAATGTTTAGTTCTTTCTATTGTCATCATCAAAAATATGGATTTTCATTAAAAATAAAGTTTACTTTAAAATAACCTTGAAGCTGAAGGTCATATCCAAGGTCAGCGTTCACTTCCTCGCTAAAATCCACCAAAGACCTGACCTTAATAGTTATTTTCATCACTCATCCTGTGAGATTTAAAGAGGTTTTCCTAGCAGCACATATTTGACCTCATTTGACCTTTATTAGTCATCCTGACCTTGGACTTTGATTGTGTTCGAACGTCAAATTTTGCGGTCTTTCGATGAACGGCATCAAAAATAGGGATTTTCATTAAAAAAATAAAGTGGACTTTGAAATAACCCTGAAGGTGAAGGTCGTTAAAATTCACCGAAGACCTGACCTTGATAGTTATTTTCATCACTCATCCTGTGAGATAAGTAGAGGTTTTCTTAGCAGCACACATTTAACTTTTATTTGACCTTCAGTGGTCGACTTTGTACTTTGATTGTGTTCGAACGTAAAGTTTTCTATTTTTTCGATTGCCGGCATCAAAAGTAGGGGTTTCTATATGAAAAATAAAGTTGACCATGAATTAACCTTGAAAGTGAACGTCAAGGACAAGTTCAAGATCACCGTTGAATACCTTGCTGAAAGTTACTGAATACCTGGTCTTGATCTTTTCCAAAAATACCTTCCCCAAAAAAATACAGAACCGTTCCGAGAGTTTTGTGACACGCTGTATGCTACTAAAAAACATGCTTATTGTTGCCTATACGCTCTGTAAATGTAAGTCACAACTTTGAGGGCATCCTGTATGATAGATATCCCTATAGCCCAGTCGTTTGGTAATAGTTTGCAAAATGCTCCGTAGTTTGGCTTTTGTTTTAGTCTGAAACTGAGCCTAGAGCCACAAAAATTGTGGAAATTCAGTTATTCTATGGAAAAAATTATTTTACGAAGATCACAGGTTAATTTCTAGTGATTAATTTCCTTATTTTTTCTTATTTTTTATGTTCGATTGCTATAGGGAAAATTGCAAAAACATCCAAAAAATTAATTTCCTTAAATGAAATAACCAATGAATGGCATTTATGTGGACATCGGAAAATAATTTTCAAGCTATTCTGATTAAAAGCTCTCATAAAGACAAACAATTTTAACACCCAGTTGCCTAAAAGTATAGCCATTGTCTAACAAATAGAAACAGTCAGAGGCATCTAAGCATGTGAATTTCTCTAGTATTAGGAGCGAGAAACACTTCACGCTCCTCCTTGCTCTTCTGCGATTCCATCAATAAATTTGTTTTCGAGTAAAATTTAACTATTTTATGATTTTTTTAAAACCGTCCATTCTCTCTGCCGCACCCTGTATAAACCATCCTCAGTACATTCAAGTGCCACCATGAAAACATTTGGGAAGTCTCCTCTGCCTCTATCAACGTCAGGAATTTTGATACGGACGGTATCATTTACCTTGCAAGGAGAAAACTTTTCATTTGACGAAGCTGTCATTTTATTAGCCTTTAATACTAAAGGAATTGCCGCACCTTTCCTACTACTCGTATTATCTATTTTCTGTTCCTTTTCCTTTTTCTCCAGTTCCTCCACAGTCTCGGTCTTTTCGGTTGCTTCGAAAACTGCTGACCTTAAGCCAACTTTAATATCACAACCATACATTGCTTGGTACGGCAATCTTTTAATTCCACGATCATATGCTCTATTTTGGACAATTTTCATCAATCATCCACACCATGAGCATTCTTTCGACATCTTGATTCGCACGTACTATGGTACCTTGTGACTGGCTATGGCGCGGCTTCTCGTGCACAATCTTTTCATCCTGATGGCATTCGTAGGGCTACAAATCTTGTCCATGAAGTGAGAAACGCACTGCACGTATTCCGCAACGAGCAACGGAGCGACTTTCTGGCGGGAATGCTTGACTCAAATATCCCTCTCTGGAGGGTCGCAAAGTCACTCAGAAACGGAAAGCGAGGACAACTCCCGCGCGGTCCTGAAGGCATAGTCTTAAGAACGGAGGATAAGATCGAGGTTTTCGCTGATGCCATGGAAAAACACTTCTCTCCCAACTATGATCTTGATAATGACCACGACGAGGAACAATACAATGTACGATCCGTCAAGAGATATTTTAGGGCCAATGGCGCTAGCGGAGGTACTGAATCCTCTTCAGAAGATTCGTCTGAGGCTCCACATAGCACATAAGCGGAACCCTCCGAGGTTCCACATCGCACACCAGCGGAGCTCCTAAGTCATATTAAAGACCTCAAGGTGCGTAAAGCACCTGGGGAGGATGAAATCACCAACAAGGCGTTGAAGCTGCTCTCGCCGAAAGCTCTGACATATTTGGTGACAATAATCAATGCGATGCTCAGAATCCAGTACTTCCCTGCTGGGTGGAAGGCTGCTGAGGTCATCATGATTCCAAAGAAGGTGGGTTCGATACTTCCTCGGGATTACCATCCCATTAGCCTGCTGTCAGGTCCTTCTAAGCTCGCCACCTTGAGAATTTTTCGTCAAATCACCATGTGATTCCTGACGATTCGGTTTTCGGTCCGAGCATAGCACCGAGCTACAGGCAGTCAGGCTGGTGCAACATATAGCCAGAGGGTTCACTCTCAGCATGAGTACTGGCATATTGCTTCTGGATGTCTCAAAAGTCTTTGACAATGTGTTGCACGCGGGCCTCCTCGATAAACTGATCCAAAAGGGTTTTCCTTTTTGACTTCTAAAATTACTGAAATCCTTTCTTGAAGGAAGAAAATTTCGGATCAGAATTAACAGTGTTTTGTCAACAACACGTCCAGTACGGGCCGGTGGTCCTCAGGGCTCGGTCCTAGGGCCACTCCTTTATTCGCTTTTTATCCATGATGTCCCTTGCCCCAGCAACTGTGAAGTTTACCTCTGCGCTGACGACACTGCACTTGTCGCCCAGTCGTGTACTGGTGATCTGGTTCACGATGGATTGCAGAGTGCGATGGACGATGTCCTAGAGTGGGCGGAACGATGGCTGATTAAAATTAATCATTCGAAAACGCAGGCTATTTATTGTACCAAAAAACGTCGCTGCTTCCCAGCAGAGGTTTCTGTAGAAGGAAATCGCGTACCATGGGCAAATTCTGGCAAGTATCTCGGTTTCACCGTTAATAAAGGCATGACCTGGCAGAAACATACAGCAGCCTTGAAAACAAAATTCCAAATTGCGTTTTGACAACTTGAGGTTGATAAACAAAGTTCAACTATACAGGGTGTCCGCTAAGTTGGGGTTTTCCTTTTCAGAAACAACTACCCTTGAAATAACAAAGGTAATGTGTAGTGAAACGAGGGCGACCAAGTAAAAAAAAAATAAAGGAAAAGTACTCACTCTCCAGTTGACGAGAAGGGCTAAGTACGTCTCTGCCCGAAATCATACCGCTCCAACAGAAAATGAAATCAGCTGAAACGCTACCGAGCAGACGTAGAAACCACATTGATTGTCTTACACTTAATGGCACATTTTCTAACAAGGAAGGCAAAACTTTCCTGATAGAAAACCTCGTGTTGCATGGAATCGCAGATCATACCAGGCGCTTCTCGCAAAATCGTATGAACGAAGATTTACTATCGGGATCGCAGAAGAGCAAGAAGGTGTGGCAAGTGTTTCGCTCCTAATACTAGTTTGGCGGGAAATTCGAATGTTCAGGTGCCTGTGGCTATTTCTACTTGTCTGATAGAAAACCTCGTGTTGCATGGAATCGCAGATCATACCAGACGCTTCTCGCAAAATCGTATGAACGAAGATTTACTATCGGGATCGCAGAAGAGCAAGAAGATGTGGGAAGTGTTTCTCACTCCTAATACTAGTTTGGCGAGAAATTCAAATGTTCAGATGCCTCTGGCTGTTTCTACTTTCCTGATAGAAAACCTCGTGTTGCATGGAATCGCAGATCATACCAGAGACTTCTCGCAAAATCGTATGAACGAAGATTTACTATCGGGATTGCAGAAGAGCAAGAAGGTGTGGGAAGTGTTTCTCGCTCCTAATACTAGTTTGGCGAGAAATTCAAGTGTTCAGATGCCTCTGGCTGTTTCCACTTTCCTGTTAGAAAACCTCGTGTTGCATGGAAATGCAGATCATACCAGACGCTTTTTGCAAAATCGTATGAACCAAGATTTACTATCGGGATTGCAGAAGAGCAAGAAGGTGTGGGAAGTGTTTCTCGCTCCTAATACTAGTTTGGCGAGAAATTCAAGTGTTCAGATGCCTCTGGCTGTTTCCACTTTCCTGTTAGAAAACCTCGTGTTGCATGGAAACGCAGATCATACCAGACGCTTTTTGCAAAATCGTATGAACCAAGATTTCCTATCGGGATTGCAGAAGAGCAAGGAGGTGTGGCAAGTGTTTCGCTCCTAATACTAGTTTGGCGGGAAATTCGAATGTTCAGATGCCTCTGGCTATTTCTACTTGTCTGATAGAAAACCTCGTGTTGCATGGAATCGCAGATCATACCAGGCGCTTCTCGCAAAATCGTATGAATGAAGATTTACTATCGGGATCGCAGAAGAGCAAGAAGGTGTGGGAAGTGTTTCTCGCTCCTAATACTAGTTTGGCGAGAAATTCAAGTGTTCAGATGCCTCTGGCTATTTCTACTTGTCTGATAGAAAACCTCGTGTTACATGGAATCGCAGATCATACCAGAGACTTTTCGCAAAATCGTATGAACAAAGATTTACTATCGGGATCGCAGAAGAGCAAGAAGGTGTGGGAAGTGTTTCTCGCTCCTAATACTAGTTTGGCGGGAAATTCGAATGTTCAGATGCCTCTGGCTATTTCTACTTGTCTGATAGAAAACCTCGTGTTGCATGGAATCGCATATCATACCAGGTGCTTCTCGCAAAATCGTATGAACGAAGATTTACTATCGGGATCGCAGAAGAGCAAGGAGGTGTGGCAAGTGTTTCGCTCCTAATACTAGTTTGGCAGGAAATTCGAATTCTCAGATGCCTCTGGCTATTTCTACTTGTCTGATAGAAAACCTCGTGTTGCATGGAATCGCAGATCATACCAGGCGCTTCTCGCAAAATCGTATGAACGAAAATTTACTATCGGGATCGCAGAAGAGCAAGAAGGTGTGGGAAGTGTTTCTCGCTCCTAATACTAGTTTGGCGGGAAATTCGAATGTTCAGATGCCTCTGGCTGTTTCTACTTGTTAGACAATGGCTATACTTGGAGCCAACTGGGTGTTAAAATTGTTTGTCTTTATAAGAGCTTTTAATCAGAATAGCTTGAAAGTTATTTTTCGGTACCCACAGATCTAGGTGTAGTTGTTCAAACATAGTCTTAACCGAATGCAACCGGCTGGCCTTAGGTTACACCTAAGACTAAACAACTGCCAGTGGCTAAACTTAGTTCTAACTGGCTAAACCTAGTTATCGCCGCATTTTAGTTAGCCGTAATAGCTATACTAATGAAACGGATCCTCATTTAGTTCGACGAACTCGATCTTTCGCGTGTTCTTCATGATGCAAAGTTACACATGTAAACCTTTTAGTTCCAGTGGCGATTGGATTTTGACACTAGATTACAGTTATAAAAGGCTTTGAAAATAAGTAAATCGCTCCAGTGGTAGCGAGAAACAAAAAATTCTGAAAACGTCCAAACTTTGTTTTTTGAATGCCTGATAATGTTGGACGGGTTCTAATAATTTTTTGAATAAAAAACTCCGTCGGTGCATAGCGTAAATACTTCAGATGGCTCAAAACTTTTAAAATCAGGCAGGCCTCTTTTACCACTAATGACGCATACAAAGTGCTGATCAAACTATACTAAACGTCACTTAGTATTCATTTTCTACAAAATGCGTTCAAGATTCTAAAAGATTTTTGGTTTTCAGATATCATAAGCGAGTGAAGGAGTTTGCGAAGCTTTTATTGGATGAACCTGTGCCTGGCGTAGAAAAAGCAATATGGTGGATGGAGTATGTCATCAGGCATAAAGGAGCAAAGCACCTGCGTAACCCGATTGTAGATATCCCACTGTATCAATACCTCATGCTTGATGTAATTGCTTCAGTATTTATAGTACTTTTATTCTTGGTTACGATGGTGTTTTTGATTAGCCGTAAACTTAAACGTTTTGTTAGATCTTTAATGAAAAGCGGTAAACTTAAGACCAAATGAAGACAATAAAAAATTAAGATTTTTTGTATTCAATTTATGCTATACAGGGTGACTCACAAGTCATGACCAAAAATGAAACATTATACACAGGACCGGATTTCAAGGGGGTCTTTTATGTAACATTTTTTCTTGAGGACTTCATTAAAAAGATACGGGGTGTTGAGGTTTAAAAAATAAAAAACGATTTTTTTTAATAACCATCAACTGGAATGTGGATTTACCTACTTAGTGTCAACATTCAAAAGTCTTTACCTAAAATTAACGTGTGGCGGAGATATAGGGGATTAGTGGCATTATTTTTCCAAGCAAAAATAGTACGCCACCGGTTCTTTTTTTTTCGAAACACGCAATTTTTCGAATTTTACCTCAAATTTGCTACAAATAATTACTCTTGTGTTTTTTTCCTACAGTGGATTGTTATCGTAAAAATAAAAAAACAAATCATATCATTCATGAAGAGCCGAGATACAAAATAAAATAGGAGGCCTTGATACTAACTTGAAGTTTCTTGGGAGATAACGAGTGATTTTTTAAGAGGTATACGATTTGATTTTCAAAAAAAAAACACAAAAAATTTGAAAAAAACGATTAAATCTTTATTTGAGTCGATAGAACGGTCGATATAACTTAATGTTTAAAGATTATTTCATGTAAATGTTGGCCGCGGCTCCGCTTTAGATGGCCCATGCGCAAGGTCCAATTTTGGCACACTCTCTCCAACATATCGGCCTGTATCTCACGAATAAATGCTTCAATATTGGCTTCCAGTGCGTCAATCGTTGCTGGTTTATCCCTGTAGACATTAGCCTTAACATGGTCCCACAAGAAATAGTCCAACGGCGTTAAATCGCACGATCTAAGCGGCCAATTGACGGGCCCCAAACGTGAGATAAACTGTTCACCGAACTCGCCTCTCAATAGGGCCATTGTTTCGTGTGCGGTGTGGCATGTGGCACCGTCTTGTTGAAACCACATGTCAGTCAAGTCCTCTTCCATTTTGGGCAAAAAAAGTTTGTTATCATCGCACGGTAGCGCTCGCCATTCACAGTTACGTTCCGGCCATTGTCGTCTTTGAAGAAGTACGGCCCGATGATGCCGCCGGCCCATAATCCACACCAAACAGTCATTTTTTCGGGATGCATTGGTAGCTCTTGCAATGCTTCTGGCTGGTCTTCACTCCAGATGCGGCAATTTTGCTTGTTAACGTACCCATTCAACCAGAAATGAGCTTCGTCGCTGAACACAACTTTTCGATAAAACTACAACTTTGCCAGCGCCCATTCACCAAATTGGAAACGTTGTGGGAGGTCGTGTGGCTTCAATTCTTGCAACAACTGTATCTTATAAGGTTTTACACCCAAATCCTGTCGCAAAATTTTCCACGTAGTGGATTGCTGCAAACGGCGGCGAATCGACATATCACGGTCATCACTAACACTGGCGGATACAGCCGCAATATTTTCTTCAGTCCTCACTCTACGTCTGCGTGTTGGTGGTTTAATGTCCAATAATGTAAACTGGGTTCGAAATTTAGTCACAAGCTTCCGAATAGCTCCATCAGTAGGCCGACCAAATTGCCCATAAATTGGAAGCAGTCTCTTAACCGTAAAATTCAATAATTTGCAAGCGTTGTTCGTTCGTAAGTCGATTCATGGTTAAATTATAGACCAAACTGAACAAGATTGACAATGACACAAGACACGATTCACGCGTCATCTGTCAAAAACAGTGTTGCCAAAAAGATACTAGCAAAAAAATCACCCATTAGTTTATCAAAGTTATGTGTTATACAGTTTTTATCGTTACTGCTACCATTTTTTTTGTAAAAGTCAAGTCAAAAGATTCATTTTTCCATTTTTAAGCGTTGTGAGATGGAATTTAGCAATGATTAGTACGCCGATATTATTTTTATTTACGGTTTCTGTAATGGAAATACTTTAGCGGCTAAAGGTTTTTACTCGTTCATTTCTAAGATTTCGGCTATATGGGAATGCCAAACTTCCCGGAGTTAGAGGCCATGGTGCATACTGTTCAAGAGGAACTGGGAGTGATTAATCTGGCGTTGGATGATCCTAGTACAAGTACTAGGCGGATTGCAGCCCAGTTCCATGTTCCCAAAGTCTTGAGTGGCAAATTTTGAATCGGGAAGTTTTACATCTTTACCATCGGCAAACTGTGCAATGTTTGCAACCCGGCGAGAAGTGCAACGGCTAAATTTTTGTGAGAGGTTATTGCAAATGCATAATCAAAATGCAGATTTTATTGATTTGACTTTGTTGTTAGATCAATCGCTTTTTAACGAGGACTGGAACCTTTAATTCTCATAATGAACATATTTAGAAAATCCCCGTTCTGTAAGAATCCACTCATTCCAACACAGATTCTGCCAGAAATATCTAGTGCGGCATTTTCAGTGGTCAAGTGCTTATGCATTGGAGACCAGCCTAAAAATGCGGCCCTGCGTATGATGTTTCATTTTTGGTCACGACTTGTGATCACCCTGTAAACAACATCCATTTTCAGAAATTAATATTAGCTTAACAGACAAGTACAAGTTGGTCAGGTTACTTGAAATCACTTGTATTTGATTGGATTTGTGGCTTAAAGCAACACAAGTTCGGAAATATGTATCGCCTTTTTAGGGCTCGAGGTAGTCAGAACATCTACCGCTAAGAAGGAAATAATGTTGTAGCGTTTTTTTGGGTTCTTTTAGGTGTGGATTAAAACACTGGATTTCACAGAAAGAAATGCACTAATTTATTTATCTTGACTTTATACAGGGTGGCCCATAAGTCCTTTGAGCTGGAAAAAAAGGAATAAAACCAAACTAGTTACATTATGAAGAATTATTATATTTTGTTATCATCTTTATTGAATGGGAATTATGTTTTAAAAATCACATCGTCTAAATGCAATCCATTACGATCACGGCACTCATATAAACGACGTCTAAAATTGTCGATGACTGCGCGGCAAGTCAACACTGTAATGCTTGCCATTTCTCTTCGGATATTTTCTTTCAGGACATCAACTGATCGCGGAGTGGTGTCGTACACTTTACTCTTGAGGTAGCCCCATAAAAAGAAGTCCATTGGGGTCAAATCTGGACTACGTGGTGGCCAGGAAATGTTTCCTCTTCGAGAAATTACTTTGCTGGGAAAAAGTTGACAGACGACGGGCATAGAAGTGTTGGAGGTGTGCTCCGTCCTGTTGAAACCAGGTCTGCGTATTATAGCCTGGAAAATTCTGCAACGCTGGTGTCAAAAACTCTTCTATCATTGCTACATACCGCTCCGAAGTAACAGTTAATGCGCGACCTCTGTCGTCCTCAAAAAAATAAGTGCCTACGATGCCATGCGCTGACATAGCAGCCCAAACTGTAACTTTAGGGCTGTGTAAGGGCTTCTGATGCTTACGCCATGGATTTTCGGGGCTCCAATAACGGCAATTTTGTTTATTTACATGCCCGTTTAAATGGAAGTGAGACTCGTCCGAGAACAACACATTATTGAGCGAAGAAAATCGACTCAACATTTCATTCGCAAAGTTTAGTCTCTGAATAGCGTCATTATCTTTTAATTCCTGCACTAACTGAATTTTGTAAGCGTGCAGACGTAAATCGTTCCTTAAAATCCGCTGTAAAGATGTTCTGGGTACGTTTAGTGCACTGGAACGCTTACGAGTAGACTGGGTAGGATTTTGACGAACAGACTGTGCCACAATGTTGATGTTTTCTTCAATACGAGTTGTCCTTGGTCGACCCCACCGCTGTTTATCTAACGTCGAAACAGTCTCTTCGAACTTAGCAACCCAGTTCTTAATCGTTTGAGCTGTTGGACACTTTGTAAAATTGTGTAAATTGTGGTATTCTCGATATTTACGCCGCGCAATGGTTGCCGAATCATTATTTTGATAAAACGCGCGCACACAAAAAGCACGATCCGCTCCAGTGGAACACTCCATGGCGACTGAATTCCCAGACACTGAAGATACTGCCCCAACCTCGTCCGCGCCGCTCACGCTCACCCGTTAAATTTGAAATTTTAAAGGACTTATGGACCACCCTGTATTTTCTAATCAGTAAAGAGAAACTTTGGCGATTTCTAATATTTCTAGTACTCATAGGTACCTAAAATGATTTCGTCACTCACCTTAGAAAAAAAATTTAGTAGATTGGATTTATTCTTAGTCGCCGCTTGCAATTCTTCTTCGATTCTCTTAGATACAATAATATCTAATTCCTTGTCGGATTTTGCATGTAATTTGTAATTTCGCCACACTTCGTTAACTAACTTTTGTACATTTTGTACTTTCGTACTTGTATGAGATTTTTTAAAACTTTCAAACAATTTTTGGTATAACTTGGATTTGTCTATGTGAAACGACATCTTATTTAAACATTAAACTTTGGCTAATGGAATCAATGGTAACACAAATGTTAACTTGCTTTACTATGCTTACAATAATACGTCTACTCGCTATAGTATCCAAACGAAACAATACACTGATAGAGGAAATTTAGACAAGTGAACACCGCGCGGTAATTCCCCTACTCGGTTCTAAAGCGAGTAGGGGAATTACCACGCGCTGTTCACTAAACGTATGCATTATTTGCGGGAATCCCCGAAAATGAGTTTCGTTTTCAAGCAAAGACAATGTGAGGGTTGCCATTCGTGTAAAAAAAGTAAATAACTACCGATGACGTAATCATCATCTAGACTCCCCTACCCCCTGTAACGCTTCATTTCCGCAAAAAGTCCAGAAAAGATGGAATGCAATGAAGATTCCAACTTTTCTGCACAATCACAGAAAGGGGGTTACCATTAGCTTCCGGTAGCTCAGTCGGTGGCATGAAGACATCTACAGGCGTGTAGCTGTGTGTCGACCATGGCATGGCTAGAGGATAGAAGAACAAACAGAACACAAAAATTTAACAGATTTTATTTAACAAAAAAGCATTTTCATTACATTTGGAATTGAAATTTCAAAGAACAAAACAAGTTTTAAATCTTTGGCGCTGCTATAAAGCTATACACTTATCTTTTGCTAAGTTGGTCCATTTTGACTGGACTGAAGCGAGGATGGCCAGGTGCTTGAAGTGGAGGTCCCAGTTATGAGGGGTGACCTCACATTTAGTGGCTTCAAAACCAGT